AAGTTCTGTATTGTGGCTCTTCTTCATAAGTGGCTAGCGCTTTTATTGTTTGTTAATGGTCATGTTTGCTCCTATTGTTTATTAATGGTCATGTTTGCTCCTAATAGACCAAATGCACAACAGATTTTTTACCCCAAGTTCAAAGCACTGTATATAGATTGTCAGTTTACCTTTTCTTAGGACGAAGAGGGGAGGTCTGGGTGATGCTATTACCAAATTACACTTGAAGGAAATTAAGGACCTGAAGATGAAAGATTCATACGCTACATATTGATCATTAGAGTATTTCATAATCATTGTTTACTTACTCATTGGGCATTCTTACACTTTATCTTCATTGTTTTGTTTTGGCCTCAGAGTCCAATGAGTGCTCCTTTTATTCCTGCTGCTCCTGTCAAAGCTGCCCTGACTGCTGGCCCCCAGCCCCAGCCCCAGCCCCAGCCCCCACTTCCAACTCAGCCCCAGGCACAGAAGAGGCGATTCACAGAGGAGCTACCAGATGAACGGGAATCTGGACTTCTTGGATACCAGGTTAAATAAAATATCCTATCTTTGTTTCCTCATCTTATTCTCCTACTATATTCTCCCTTTAAAAAAAGATAAATTCACATCTATATCAACTGTCCTCCCAGTAGTAGGATTTCTGCTTTCTGGAATCTATTTACGTTGGGTTAGGTCCTTTTTGGCACTCTTGAAAGCCTCTGGTAGTTTACTTCCCTACACATCTCAACCAAAGCTATCAAACTACCACTCTGTGGTTTGTATTTAAAGTTATGGCTTTCAATTTGCTAATCTCTATTCTCCCATTAAAAATGGGGTGATTTCTCTCACCAGCCCCCCCATCACTACTAAAACTACTAGAATTGGATTGATTCTGTGAATTCATATACTTATAAAGGTAGTCATTCACTAAAGTTAAAACAATATTATTAGTTCTGGTGCAGTTTTATTGGGAGAAATGACTTTATAATTTTCTAGAATCCTGGAAGCATTCTGAAACCATAGCATTTTTACAGTTTATAACTAGGTTTATACAAATCAGTTGAGCTATGGGTAGTGAGTTGAAAACAGGTAGCATAGCATAATGAATTACAGTCTCTGACCAAGTCTGACAGAGGGAAAAAATACCCTTACTTTTGACTATAGTTATACTGCAAATCCCAAAGAGCTATGTAGTGCAATTTAATTTATTGCCATTTATCAGAAAGATGAGGCACTTGACAGTTACATTAAGGAGCTAAAGTCAATACAGCAGTTGTAGATTTGCTAATGCCACTGTATTTTTCTGCTCATAGCATGGACCCATTCATATGACTAATTTAGGTACAGGCTTCTCCAGTCAGAATGAGATTGAAGGTGCAGGATCGAAGTCGGCAAGTTCCTCAGGCAAAGAGCGAGAGAGGGACAGGTAAGTTATTTGAAATAATTATATGAGTATATTCAGATGTCATTTGTTTGTACCATTAATGAGAATAATGATGACTGCTGTGAGCTTCAGTGTTCTGAAGATGAAATGGCATCTCTGAATCAAATGATTGGCTGAATCAAATTAAAAGTGGAAGGGGTTAGGCTGGGCCCGGTGGTGAATGCTTGTAATCCTAGCACTGTGGGAGGCCAAGACTGGTGGATTGTCTGAGCTCAGGAATTCAGGACCAGCCTGAGCAAGAGTGAGACCCCATCTCTTAAAAAAAAAAAAGTTGAGCATTGTGGCAGGTACCTGTAGTCTCAGCTACCAGGGAGACTGAGACCAGAGAATCAATTACTTTGAGCCCAAGAGTTTGAGATTGCTGTGACCTAAGATGCCATAGGACTGTACCAAGAGTGACAAATTTAGACTCTGTCTCAAAAAAAAAAAAAAAAAGTGGAAGGGGTTAAAAGGTTAAAAATCAATGTGAAAGATTATCTGCAGACTTACTCCACTTCTTACATGCCAGATAAATGAAAAATTGAATGTATCTGAAAGAAATTTCATTTTGTGTTTCAAAAGGCAGTTGATGCCTCCACCAGCCTTTCCAGTGACTGGATTAAAAACAGAGTCTGATGAAAGGAACGGATCTGGGACCTTAACAGGGAGCCATGGTAAGTCAGGTGTTACTGGGGGATCAAGGAATGACTAAGTAAGACTGGTCTAAAGATGTTAGTTTTCTAACCTGATGTTCATTCAGGCATTTTGTCCAACCTCTGTTGTAATCTACTGGCTAATGAGAATACTTTTTTTCTATTTATAAGGACAGCCTTTTTTTTTCAACCAACATCTAGAAAAGAGTCAGTCAACTTATATTTTATACATAGCATCAGTAACATTAAAACCTAGGAAATTCTAGTGATTGGTAGGTCGTTTCAAAATTCTATTGCCTGTGTTGTCTGAGTACTTGGACATAACCTGATACAGACTTAAAAGACTGAATTTTCTTTGTATGTGAGCTCAGCTACATCTCTCATAGCTCTGTTGGTCCATAATGGTCAGCTTGTGAGTGTTATGTAAAACGTTGCTTTTTAGCATCTCAGAACTGTTAAGTCCTATGGAGGTATATGGGATCATTTTTGTTCTTTGCCTGTAGTCATAATAAAAATAAACAGAAGAAAATACATATTTTTCTTTTCTTAACTTCTTTTCTTTTAACTCTTTAAAAGGTGAAATATCAGCCTTCAGACTCACTTGCTAACTTTCCTTTTTCTTTTTTTTTTTTCTTTTTTTGTGTTTCTTTTTTCTTTCTCTGTTTTCTTACATGGTTCTGGTGGATTCACATATGCTGATGCTGGTGCTGTTTTTCGTGTGATCTTCAACGTTTTTGGGTGACCATTGACCCTGTGACCTCAAAATGGTGTCCAACTAACCACTTACAATTAACATCTTTTTTTTATTAACGAATTTATGGTATTATTTTTTTTTTCTTGGTGGGGAATGGGGTTGGGTTTTTTTTCTCTATTCTAGATTATCCAGCCAAGAAGATGAAAACTACAGAGAAGGGATTTGGCTTGGTGGCTTATGCTGCAGATTCATCTGATGAAGAGGAGGAACATGGAGGTCATAAAAATGCAAGTAGTTTTCCACAGGGCTGGAGTCTGGGATATCAATACCCTTCATCACAACCACGAGCTAAACAACAGATGCCATTCTGGATGGCCCCTTAGGAAACAGTGGAACAGACTTTTGACCCTCGGTGACTTCTTAGCAATAATGCATGCATTTGATTTAACAAGACTCTGGGGCCTGTACTGGGAACCATCGTGGACCTTTGCAGAAGTTAGAGATGCAGTGTCCCCTTTCCTAAAGGAGCTGCATTCTTTTTAAAACAACCTTATTTCTGCAGTGGCATAGCATCTGTCAAAATTTACTTAGAATCACAAATTTGTCTCAGAAGCTTTTTAACAGTTGGTGAAGTGTGCTTGTCCAACAAGGCATCCTAACTACATTTTACCTGATCCGGCCTTTTCCAAATGACTAGTCCCAACTCTGATGTAAAGAAAGTTTTATTTATATTTTACTACTGTTTGGTCAATTTTGATAACAACTGATTGCAAGCAAACCCTTACTATTAATTAGTGGGGAAATGATTTTAAGACCATCCTTTCTTTTCAGCACTTAATTCTAAGAGATGGTCATCCCTCTTTCATTTTGGATTCTTTCTGTTTTGGAAGATGCTCTTTTACTAATTTAAAACTTGGAGATAGCTGGATCTGGGATAGGAAAATGAAGTTATTTTTTCTTTTTTTTTTTTTTTTTTAATTCCTATGATCCAAAGCTGGCACCTTCAGGAACATTGTCTCAGATAGCCATTGCTGTTTTTATAGCCCTTCTAAGCTCCTTGTCTTCAGCTGGGTCAAAGAAAACTACTTGACTAAAAACAGGTCAGAACTCATCACAGAAATGAAACACAGTGATCTGTCTCTCTCAGAACTGGTTGCAGCTAAAGAAAGAGAGATCTGACTGCTTGGAATAGGATGGTGGACTTACTGACTGAAATTGCAACTTGTCCTTTTTCTTGGCATTACAGGTTTTGCCAAAAGAACTTTTTTATATCAAATATTGATATGTGAAAGTGAAGGAGCTAGTCTGCTGAACCAAGAGTAGTTTGAGATACTGAACTGTCATTTTTGCACATTTGAATACTTTGCAGGCTGGCTTTGTATAAACGTATCCTCTGGTTTCCTATATGTTGTAAATATTTAGACCATAATTTCATTATAAATAAATGTGTAAATATTCTGTTTGTGGTTTCAGTTTTTCCTCCACAGCCCATCCATACACTAAAACTCATAAATTCTTTTGTTCATAGAATAATGCAATTATAACATCAGTGGAAAAAGTATAGACACTGAAGTTTGCATATATATATAGTTAAAAGAGTTTTATAACTCTGCAAAGTATACCTAAAGTTCAGATGAAAATTCTGAAGATTATTATGTTATATTTTCCATGTTCATATTTCAGTCCTTTATTTAATAGGACTAAAAGGAATTGAGTGAATGAAATAAATTTTAAAGGAAGTTATTCTTGGAAAGAATTTTTTTTGAGACACCTTCACTGTTGTCCTGGGCTTGAGTGCTTTGTTGTCATACCTCAAGAAGTCCTCTTGTTTCACCTTCCATTGTAGCTGGGACTACAGGTGCCCACCACAACACCCAGTGAATTTTTCTATTTTTAGTAGAGATTGGGTCTCAACTCTTTCTCAAGCTGTTCTTGAATTCCTGAGCTCCTGCAATCAACCACCTTGGCCTTGGCCTCCCAGAGTGCTGGGATTACAGGTGTTAGCCATCATGCCCACCACTGTCCCAAGCAGGACATTCTCTTTACAAAAGTGGTGGGCAGAAGTTTAGTAAATAGAAGTGAATACCATTATAGTACCTTCAGTTGTTGCTGTATTTAATTCATGGGCAGTTAACAGTAAGTGCTTGAGTTTTACCCTTTCCTGCTGGAGAATAATAGTATATTTAAAACAAAATCCATGGCTCAGCGCCTGTAGTACAGTAGTTAGGGTGCCAGCCACATCCACTGAGGGTGGTTGTTTCGAACCCAGCCCAGGGCAGCTAAAACAATGACAACTGCAACAAAAAGTAGCTGGGTGTTGTGGCGGGAGCCTGTAGTCCCTGCTACTTGGGAGGCTGAGGCAAGAGAATTGCTTAAGCCCAAGAGTTTGAGGTTGCTGTGAGCTGTGATGTAACAACACTCTACTGAGGGTGACATAATGAGACTCCATCTCAAAAAAAAAAAAAATCCCTAATTTTTGTGTATGTTACATATCTTTGAAATACATAAAAGGATAACTTGCATGTTGTAAACATTTGTGACAGCAATTTTTTTTTAACATGGAACTTACCAAAAATTTGTCATCCTTTTGGCCCAATTTTAATGTATGTGCTCCAAAAGTGAGCACAAGAACTAATCTTGGTTTCAGGTGCCCAAGTCATTGTAGTTGCTCCTTTAGGAAAGTTTTTTCTGGGCCAGTGCCTGTGGCTCAAGGAGTAGGGTGCCATCCCCATATACTGGAGGTGGCAGGTTTGATCCTGGCCCCAGCCAAAAACTGCAAAAAAACAAACACATTGTACCCCACATATGCATAAATGTATTCATGATCTATGTATATATAACTTTTTTATTTTTTATTTTTTATCTTTTTTGAGACAGCCTCAAGCTGTCCCCCTGGGTAGAGTGCTGTGGCATCACAGCTCACAGCAACCTCCAACTCCTAGGCTCAAGCGAGTCTCCTGCCTCAGCCTCCCAAGTAGCTGGGACCACAGGCGCCCGCCACAACGCCTGGCTATTTCTTTGGTTGCAGCCGCCGTTGTTGTTTGTTGGGTCCTGGCTGGATTCGAACTCGCCACCTTAGGTGTATGTGGCTGGCGCCTTAGCCACTTGAGCCACGGGCGCCGAGCCGTATATATGACTTAATAAAAAAAAAGTATTTAAAAAAAAAGTTTTTTCTGCTGTAAAGGCATCTTTAAACTTGATCTCAAGAGGGTGGTGCACCCTGCCAAAGAAGCCTCTTGGCCTCTTTGTAATTTTTTTATTTTTTGCAGTTTTTGGCCCAGGCTGGGTTTGAACCCGCCACCTCCGGCATATGGGGCCGCCCTTCTCCTTTGAGCCACAGGCGGCACCCTTGGCTTCTTCTTTAAAAAGACGGTTTTTTCAAAAGTTGCAATCAGCCCTGTAGGTCGCTCCTCATCACTTCAGGGTCAGCAACGGTTTTCCCCTTTCGACGTGGTCTAGTACGGTGCACATTCAACGCCTCCAGCGGTACTGGGGGTCTTGGCAGAAACTCGCGAGGACCCACGGGGCAGGTGCTCTTCCCGTGGTGGGGTGGGGCAGGGCGGGTCGCTGCGTCATTGCCCGCTCCGCCCCCGTTGGGAGCGTCACCAGCGGCCCCGCCCCCGGCGGCGCCATCTTAGCGTGCGGGCGGGGTCGCAGGTTCGCGCGCGGGTGGAAGCGCGGGGAACGCGACTCCGCTGGGGTCCAGCCGGGGCTGCCCGAGCGGCGGGTCCGCGGTGGGTAGAGAACGGAGGGGTGGGTCCGGACGGGGCGGGGCCTCCAGGCTGTGCACTGAGAGGGCCGGGGCCTACACGGCCGTTGCTGGGTCCCCAAACTGATAGCATCCCCGACTGAAAAGAATCCTACGTTTCTTTGTATCTTTTCATCTTTTTTTCTGGAAAGTGCCCTAAGTCGGAAACTCCGCGCTGCGCCTCAGGACCGAATTCCGGAGGACCAAGCACGGGGTTGGGGCGGGGCGGGGCCCTGCGGCGTCTCTGTCCGGCGGCTATCCCCGCGGCGGGCCCCGACGGCACGATGGACGCTGGCGCCCGCCCGGCCGGCGGCAGCCCCGCAGCGCTCTCCCGGGAGTACAAGCTGGTGATGCTGGGCGCCGGCGGCGTGGGCAAGAGCGGTAGGTGGATCAATGCAAGTCCCCAAGTGCCCTGCCCAGCCGGGATGGACGCTGGCTGTGTGGCACAGTGTTGATACTTAGGATCTTTCTGTGGGTCGCCTTCCTCAGGATTTTAACTTTCGTTTCTTGCTTGAAGCCATGACCATGCAGTTCATCAGCCACCGCTTCCCGGAAGACCACGACCCCACCATCGGTGAGTCCCAGCTCTTGACACTCCGGATGCGCCTGGGAAAGTGGCTTGGTGAATGTCAGTTTTAAAAACGGGTTGCCATTGTTTATGTTTTGAGCCATTTTTTGGAATCTAATTCATATTTACTTAGAAACTAGAGTCTCATAGCAATTGGTAAACAACTAACCCTGTTTTCCAGTTTCGCTGTGTGCACAGAAGCCGTCTTTAGTCTCTGTCGTGTATTGACATTTATGGGACAACTTGTGTGTGTGTATGTGTGTGTGTGTGTGTTTTATGATTGGTATACTGTATTGCCAGATTAAAGGAAAAACTTAAAAGCCACTTAATGAAGCCTTTTTTTGCTATCACTTCTCTGAGAGTCTGACTTGAGACTGTAACTGTGAGTCAGCTGGTGGAACTTCCACAAAAGGAAGAAGAAAAACAAGTAGAGCCGCCTGGTGAACCCTAAACCCTGGCAGCCTGCACTTCTTCCCCGTGGAGCCATCACTCACTTCCTCGTCCTGGAGGGCATCATGTCATAATGTCATATCATAATGTCTTCACGTGTCTGCCATGTCTGTTCTATTTAACTGGTGTTGGCAGAATGCTAGTAGAGTGAAAAAGTAATTTTGTTTGCTGTGCCTTTTTTAAAAATTTGTAATAATTGCCTGTTCCTCTAGCTATAAGAACCAGAGGTAATTTGGATGCTGTACCTTTTTATATTTTTAATTGCATTTCTCTACAAAGACTAAGAGCATTCCTGTCATTCCTAAACAATAAGGGAACTGATTTGATTTTAAGAAGTTATA